TCCGCTAATTATAAAGGGAAAGAAACCTTTGATTGGAACCTGTAGTACCCCACACGCGAAAAGAATGAAACCTCTAACAACTCAACGCAAATTGAGAGCATGAAAGCATCCCAAGTGGAATGTTTGTAGAAGACATCATTAATATGTTTCCTTATTCAATAAAACTATGCACATATTGATCTTGGATTTATTCTATGTAAACTCCATATTGAATATCTTTCCGTTGAAATCGAAAACTCAAGGAATCATCTCATCAAGTATTTCCTTCTTGAGTACCTGTTCTGTTCATATACGAACAAATATGAATAGATGATACTCTGTGTAAACTACCGTCATTAAAGAAATCGTTATCCTTTACTTCGTATCGATGACTTATTTAATCAGCTGAGGGGATCTACTAATTTCCCTAAGATTGACTTACGGTCGGGATACCCATAAATCTCTATTAAGAAACTTGAACAAACTGACGATCAAGAATCGCTACCCCTTAATATGTACTCACAATTTGTTCAAAGAACCGACTTGTTAGGAAGCTATGGAGAGATCAACCTTTTTTAATGAACTGATGCTTTATTATGAAGTGATTAATGATTTAATTGCTTATCATCGAAAGTACCATTGTAGTCCGATTGAATGAATAACTTAATATTAATGTATCGTACTGACAAGAGGAAACATTAAGATAATTGACTCGTTCGCATATTCCATTGACGTGAAATGTCGCAACAAGATGGCAGTACAAAACGTGAAATAGTCACACCAACATTGAAAGACTTAAGGATAAAGAAAATGATTAATATTTACATAGCACATTTTGATGTTGGAAATAAATATTTTTCTGATTTGCACTGGCCATGCAACTTAGAACAATATTTATGGCTAACTTATAATGATCATGGAAAATATTATTGAACACAAATACAACTTGGATTACATAAGGAACGTTATAGATGCAATTCTAAGTCTAATCTTCCACGATTTACAAAGTTGTCATATCTAGCCTCAGGACTCGGTAAAGCTTTAGCAAACTCTAGTTTGTCTAAAAGCTCATCAACAAAGAAAGAAGGAATGAAAAGTCTCCTTTAACTAGAAGCCATTAAGTTTTGCCTCACCGCATCATCTAGAAATTTGATTAGGTTATTGAAATAATCGCCAATGTTCAAGAGACCGATGGGTTTATTGTGCAACACTTTAGATGCCCACGAGATTAAGGTGAACAAACCTTCTATAGCATCCACTTCTCCAGGAAGTACGATGAAAGCCTCCACAATATGATTCATCTCAAAGTACTTATAGTAATTGCTGAAAACTATGTACTCTACACCGTACGTAGGTTCGTAAACCTGTCGTGTTGCTATGTACCCTAGTATAAAGCCTTTAACTCTACCACCATTTGTATAAACTGTTGAAGCAACGGCTCTTTGAAGGCCACCATTACCTCCTCCATAGGTAAGTCTAATTTTTCGCCTTATCAATTCCCTTTTTAAATTTACCGCCGTAGTCATGAACTCTGGATTTGTACTGAGAGCATGACTACCAAGTAGACCAATTAATTTTATGGTGTAAGAAAGTGTTCGAGAAGTTGCTTCCATATTGTGAGAATGTGAGATGCTCTTGCCACAATCATGATATATATAGCCTCTAAAACCTGACCATTGATGAAAAGGTAATTATCACCATCCTAAAAACGTACAGGAAAGTGGATTCGCTATAAACAAAAACATACTCGCCAATACTACAGTCTGCCGACGATATGACATATCGAGTCTCATGAACAGTTAAATTCACTATCCTGAAATATGTTCAAATCCCATACGAAAAGTCAAAACGTCTATTTCCATAAGACAATGACTCCTTGAGTAACTTCCAAAGAGTGAACATTGAAGGATGAAAACCTACAATTAGTAACGATAATTCGCTAAATGCTAACTTTGTATCTTGTGACTTAAACTTGATGTGTTAACTACACCGTACCCTTGAAACATCTCGATCGCTTGATTACTCTTGAAAATATTGAATTTCATTCTTTGTATCAAAATACTAAAACCACGATTCTTCGTTAAACCAAATATGCTTTATGATACCGATCTTCAAAAACTATACTCTGTGAACTACGTCACTCGATCAAAATGGTAAAAGCACTCTGACTGGAATATTATGTTAAACCTCTCTTTGGGAACCACAAAACAATTGATGTGATTACGTTATCTTTGAAAATTATTATCGATGATTTTGATCAAACAAACCCTGTTCTGACCCTAGCAAGGGAACGTATGTGCAACAGCCAGATGAGAAATGACGTCACAAAGATCAAGCTTAAACATTCAAGTGAGAATCCCGTACCTATATGCAATGTTGGTGTAAGAACTCGTGAGATTCCTTACTCTACGAATTCGTGAATTGAATCGCATATTGATAATATTCTCTTCTTCCCTCGAAACGAGATCAACCATAGTGTTATGATCAAACCTGCCACTATCATAAACGTATCTTGATGTACTTCCAAAAAAATCGAAGAAAGAAAGTTGAAGACATGACGTATATGAGATGTCACTCGAATATTAACACCTATGAGTTTGAATTAATACAAAGACTAATTGATGATGAGAACTACCATGAAGTGAACGAAGAAATGTTTCGACGTAAGATCAATAATGACAAGCTACTGTACAATCAATCGATAGTACTTCCCCATAAATGACGAAAAATTTATCCCCTCTCCACTATATAAACTTCTCAAACCTTCACCATTCTACACCTTTTTCTAACAAAAGATAGCTGTGAGTGTAAAGAGTGAAGTATTGCTATCCGGAGAGCTTCCCATAGCTGGAGCTAGCCACAATCCTCGCTGAAAGTTTCACCGGAAAATTCTCAAAACCTCCATTCTTGTATAATGTTTTGACAATTAAAAAGACCTTACGTTATGCATGACGGTAAGCTAGGGTGTTAACACTCGAAGTTAGACCGCTTATTGTTATTGCTTTGAATGTTATGTTGAATGATGATTATGATAAATGATTATCATGGATGATTATGATTGATGAACCTACTAATTAAAATAATTATTTTGAATGATTGAATCATGATTAAAAATGAATATATTGATGATTATGAAAAGAATGTGTATTGTTAAGGGTATCTAAAAAAAGTTTAAGATATACTCATATTAATGATGAATTGAAGGGTATCTAGAATAACTTTAAGATATACCCAAATAACTATTTTAGTTATTTGATATTGATTCCAGTGGTATCTAGAATAACTCTAAGATATACCATAGTGATGTTGATTTTGAAGGGTATCTAGAAGAACTCTAAGATATACTCATTTAAGTTAGGCCTTGCAGGTATGATGCCTGGTGGCCAAGGTTAAAACGTACGTACGGGATCAAAAACCAAACTTGAGTACCTACACGTTTGGGGGTACCACCCAACCTAACAGTGAACACTACGCTGATGGTTTCAGGTTGGCCTTGAGCGAAGGTAAGTTTAAGACATTGAAAAACTCTTTTATCTAAAAATAGGCCTAGCTCATGGATTATTTAAGAGTACCTCGCCTTAAACTGGAATATAGTTTAATTACCTTAAGCTATAATTTGTTTAAGGGTTGATAAACATTACAGAGATTGGCCTTAGACTAAAATAGTTTAAGGATATTATTGAATGTTGAATATGAAAGATGAATATGAATGTTGAATGTTGAATATGAAAGATGAATATGAATTTTGAATAGTGAATACTGATTATTGAATATTTGAACTGAACATTATATGCATGATATTAAATGATTTGATTATGAATTGAAATTCAATTTATATGGATGTTCGACACATTAGATATACTTACTCAGCTTCAACGCTGAGCATGTAGTGTGTTTTATTTGCTACACGCAGGTTAATAGAATGATTGAAGAACATAAATAAATTATGTTTATGATTGTGATTTGTTAAGCTTTCGCAATATTGAAAACTCCGCACTATTATGTTATGAAAAATACTATTGTGATAAATAAAAGTGGTTAATTTAAGACTACCAAGTCAACACTTTAGTCCGAAAGGGGTTATAGACCTCGACGGATTAGGATGTTACAAACTGGCTCTAAAAAAGGTTAGTCACTGGTTTGGTTGTGGACTCTGTAGTTTTGGCCTTGGATATGGACTAAGTAAAAGGCTCGGGTGGGCTTGTGGGTGGCTATACGGAGGGAGTTGGATCGTTTTTGTCAACGACGTGTAACAACTTGAAGACCAGTTTCGTAGTTAGCTGTTATTTTAATAAAAATACATATTATGTTTTATTTTATTTTCCGACTCAAATATATGAATTATTTGTAAAGTTTTCCGTTTTAATTAAAAATTAGATTTTAAGATCGATGTTGTAAAATATTGACCAGCGGTATATAGTTTTTTAAATTTGGAGATACGTGTGGAGTGTTAAATATATTAAATATATTTACTATAAATTTGTATAGGGTGTATTAATTATTGTTTCCTATTATCTTTAGGAAACCTTTGTATATATAGAACATGTAATCTCCCTAATCAATCATCAGAAAATATTCATTCTTCATGGTATCGGAGCTTTAATTCTCGGCTTCTGTTTTCTTCCCGAAACCCTTGATCGGTAGTCCCACTTCCCCTCTCCTCTCTGCAGCCGATTTCTTCTCAAAACCCTGATCGGCAGTTCCCCCCCTCCCTTCTCCTCACTACCGCAGATCCCCTCTCTATTCACCACCATGACAGATTCTTCACAACTATATCTAAAATCAAACTCCATGTTCCTGTACAACTCAGTCTATCCGAGCCAAATTACAAAAAATGGAGTCAATTGCAATGGTATCAATTCGATGCCCTAATTCAAGGTTGGATCTTGTCCACCATCACGGATGAGGTTTCCGACTTAGTGCTTGCCAACAATCTCTCCGCCCATGCTCTATGGAAGGCAATTCAAAACCTCTTCCACGACAATAAGCATGCACGGGCGATGCAACTCGAACATCGCTTCCGCACAACCGTGAAGGGTCACCTCTCCATCAACGACTATTGTCGTCTCCTCAAGAATCTCTCTGAATACCTCGATGATGTGGATGCACCGGTCACCGAACATGCACTCGTACTCCAAGTTCTTCAAGGTCTCCCCCACGACATCCGGAGTCAAGTGCAATTTTTGCAATATCAAAACCCGCTCCCCACATTCTTGGAAGTTCCGTCGGCGTTGCTTCTTGGTGAACAGCAGCAAAACGACTCTCTTTATGGTTCCGGCACGCCACCCACAGCCCTTCTCAGCACTGGAGGTCACGGCGGCCTTGGAGGGAGCGCATATCGCCAAGATCGGGGCAGCGGCTATGGCGGATCTGGGAGCCGCAGCAGCGGCAGTTTTGGCGGCGGACCTGGCGGAGGCTATGGCGGACGCGGCAGGTCCTCAGGCGGCGGCAACCGCGACAGGGGCTGCGGTCGAGGTTGTGGCAGCGGTGGACATTTGCGGCAACCCTCAGGCTTCAATTCCTGGATATTCCCGTCTCCCTCCCCTGGTGTCCTTGGGCCTCAGCCCAACCCGCCTAATCCACTAGCCCAAGCCCACATCCACAACTCTCCTTATTATTCCACTCCCCCTACCCAAACAACCCAGCCCACGGCCCATAATCACCAAACCCAAATCCCACTCCATAGCCCAACCAATTTCCCCTCTACCCAGCCCAAGTCTCCCCCTACCCGTACCTCACCCCCCAGCCCCCACTCGTACCCACCCGCCCCACTCCCCTACCCCACCTAGCCCCACATCCCTAGCCCACACCCTTGAGAGCCTAATCCTCAACCCCAGCTACCCCAATTGGTTCATGGATATCNATGGTCACCTGATCTAAGGCCGGTATCTTCTGTCCCAAACAAATCTTCAACCTCAACACCATTGCCCCTATCTTCCCCATACCCCCTACCTACCGTAGTGCTCTCAAAGACCTTAACTGGTACAATGCTATGCTAGATGAATATAATACCTTGATAGCTAATCATACATGGGATCTTGTACCCCCTTCCCCCGACCAAAATGTGATCTCCGGTAAATGGCTATTTCGCCACAAACTTGGCCCCACAGGTGAATTATCCAGGTACAAAGCTCGATGGGTTGTCCGTGGGTTCCATCAACCCCACGGCATTGACTATGACGAGACCTTTAGCCCAGTTGTCAAACCGGTCACTATCCGCATCGTCCTAAGTCTTGCCGTGTCCCGAGGATGGCTGATCCACCAGTTCGACGTCAAAAATGCTTTTTTGCAGGGCTATCTCACAGATACTGTCTACACCGCTCAGCCTTCGAGATTCCAGGACCTAGCACGCCTGAATTATGTATGCAGATTAAATAAGGCACTCTATGGCCTTAAACAGGCACCGAGGTCTTGGTACCAGCGAGTCACCGGCTTTGTTCTCTCTCTTGGATTCAGTGGGTGCAAGAGCGACACCTCCTTATTTGTCTACAGTCGCGGTCAGGACATGGCTCTACTTCTACTTTATGTTGATGATATTGTACTCACGGCCTCCTCCCCTGCTCTTCTTCAGCAGCTTACGGCACGACTCAAAGGGGAGTTTGCCATGACAGACATTGGTGACCTTCACTTCTTCCTTGGGATTAATGTCCAGCGGATCGCTCACGAATTGTTCCTCAGTCAAACTCAGTTCATCTACGACATCCTTGAGTGTGCCGGCTTGACGTCGTGCAAACCAGTCTCTACTCCCGTGGACACCCGTGGGAAGTTGTCGGCCACAGTCGGTCCACCCGCTCTAGATCCCTCTCTCTACCGCTCCATATATATATATATATATATATATATATATATATATATATATATATGCATCTATATTATCACCATGTAAAAATTTATTATATATTATATATTTTATTATTATTTCGACAAACTTAATTATCATATAATTTAAATTTCAAAATATAATTTCCAGCTATTTATTTACGTCACATGTAAATAATATTAATCACTTTTACTCCATTCGTCCTAGTGTATTTGTCCAGCTTGATATTTCAATTTATTTTAACATAAAATTGACTTTATTGAGTTTATGGTATTGAGATATCTCAAAATTGTATTGCATTATGCTAATATGCAATATGAATTGAGAATAATTAGAGTTTAAAGTTCGTCCAGTTTGACTCAAAAATGTCAAACTAGACAAATATATTGAGATAGATGTAGTAATATTTTACTTCGTTCAATTATTCTGTGTCTGACCCTTTAGGTATTCACAATGTTGACATTAATATTACTTCACAATTAATATTATAAACGATAAGTGGTAGCTAGCAATACATTATCGCTATCCAAGTTATAATCATAACGTTCATTGCAACAATACCTCTAACGACACATTACATTTGTATTACTCTATCCATACATGTCTAACGTCTTGATTTAACACAATACTTGAGATGTGTCACCTTGTTAGAGTTAAATCGTTGGTTTACTGATTCTCAGGGTGACTTGTGGGATTCAAATAACATTAATATTACATATATTAATTTATCTAGGTATGACCATGTAGTTCCTAAATCACATCAATCAGTGGGTCTGAAGACAATTCACTTCATCACAATGGAAGAGATAAATTATTTCTATGTCATTTATGTCTTTACATATGCTTAACTACATACCCAAAACAATAGTGTACGTTCACCAGTATTTCAAGTGACATTAATCATACATCAGAGCATATAGGTCAACATATTAAAGATCATAATGACCTCAAGTCCAAGAATAGTTCTTCCAGTGGTTGAATGAGAATATTACGCATAGATTGAAATATCACAATATCCATAGCTTATGAGACACATCTATCTTGTCTCATACGTATTAGTCATAGTATTTTGTGACATCTGTATTATCATAATATTCGACTAAAGACATATTTTGTTTTTGACAAGTATTCAGATACCTAAACATAAATTGGCCTCTATGGCCCACACTTCCAACAATAATAATAAATAACTATAATAATAATGCAATTAATAATAATATTTAATAGTAAATATAATATTAATAATGTTGGACATGAGTTCAAACCCCTTTATTATTTTCTCTGGAATATTTTTTGTTTTGATAAATGACAAACAGGATGATGAAATCCAAACGATGATCGAAAATTTACTTTTCGTACCGAGAAAAGAAAAGAGGCGTATCAAGAAGTTTACGGCGATGAAAATTGACGATCACCCCTACGCAGATTTTTTAAGTGATGTGAAGACTCCGAAGTCTTTTTAATTTTTATTGAGTCTAGGATTTTTGTAAGGATGACAATATCTTTTCCACAAAACAATTGAATTTCCGAGGGATAAAAATTATTTTTGAGTCAGTTGAAAAATCATTTTTTCTCTGTCTAAAATATTTTAGTGAGTCAATCTCAAAATAAGTGTGTCAAAATTTCTTTAAACATTTTCTTAAAGTTACACAAGTTTCTTTGGTGAGAAAATATACTTTAAATATTTTTTCGTGTATTGTTTGACACACAAAATAATTTTTGAACTCTCTTTTTCTCCCCTATTCAAATTCATTGAATAAGGGTTATCAATGATCGTGCATTGATTCCCGTTGTCTCAAACAATCGTATGAAGCCAAAGGCTTCAATCGCAAATAGGCTTGGGCCCTTTATGTTTGCACGGTATTTTGAATTTAATCGATTTTCTCTTCCTTTTTAATCGATTAATAGACTTCTAGTTGGATTCCCAGAATCGCCCAATAATCGATTAATTCCCTTCATTTAATCGATTAGTTTGGGCAGAGCAAACTAATCGATTTTTCGTTTCAGTTTAATCGATTAAT